CAATAAAGGAACTTCTGGAGACATCAGCATCCCTGACATCAAACTCTATTACAGAGCTACGGTAACGAAAACAGCTTGGTATTGGTATAAAAATGGAGAGGTTGACCAATGGAATGGAATTGAAGACCCGGATATTAAACCACACACTTATGAACACCTTTTTGACAAAGAAGCTAAAATTATACAATATAAAAAAGAAAGCATCTTCAACAAATGGTGCTGGCATAACTGAATGTCAATACATAGAAGAATGAAAATAGATTCATATCTATCCCCATGTAAAAACTCAGGTCCAAATAAATTAAAGAGCTCAATATAAATCTGACCACACTGAACCTGATAAAAGAGTAAGTGGGAAGTAAGTTTTAATGCATGGGCACAGGAGACCACCTCCTAAATATGACACCAGTAGTACAGACACTGAGATTAACAATAAAGAAAAGGACCTCCTGAAACTGAGAAGCTTCTGTAAAGCAAAGGACACAGTCAATAAGACAAACAGGTAGCCTACTGGATGGGAGAAGATCTTCACCAATCCCACATCAGACAGAGGACTGAACTCCAAAATTTATAAAGAACTCAAGAAATTGGACATCAAAGTTCTAAATAACCCAATTAAAAATGGGGTACAGAACTAAACAAAGAATTCTCAACAGAAGAATTTCAAATGACCAAAAGATACTTAAGGAAATGTTCAGCATCCTTAGTCATCAGGGAAATACAAATCCAAACAACTCTGAGATACCATCTTACACCAGTCAGAAAGGCTAAAATCAAAACCACCAATGATATCTTATGCTGCAGAGGATATGGAGTAAGGGGAACACTCATCCATTGCTGGTGGGAATACAAACTTTTACAACCATTTTGGAAATCAGTACAGAGGTTTCTCAGAAAATTGGGAATCAACCTACCTCAGGATCCAGCAATACTATTCTTGGACATATACCCGAAAGATGCTCAATCATACTACAAAGACATTTGCTTAACTATGTTCATAGCAGCATTATTTGTAATAGCCAGAACCTGGAAACAACCTAGATGCCCCTCAACTAAAGAATGGATAAAGAAAATGTGACACATTTATACATTAGAGTACTACTCAGTCGTCAAAAACAATGACATCTTGAAAATTGCATGTAAATGGATGTAACTAGAAATCACCTTCTGAATGAGGTAATCTACACCCAAAAAGATAATTATGGTATGTACTCACTCATAAGTGGATACTGAATATAAAGCAAAGGATATTGAGCCTATAGCTCATGATCCTAGAGAAGCTAAGTAACAAGGTGAACCCTAAGAAAAACATACATAGATCCACCTGTAAAGGAAAAATGACAAGTTAACCTAACAAAATTGGGAGCATGGGGATGGGGGGAAAGAGAGGGTGGGAGGGGAAAAGGATGGGAGAAGTGCGGAGGAGATCTTGAGGGACTGGGATAGTTGAGATAGAGGAAGGACAGAGATGAGAGCAAGGAAAGAGATGTCTTAATTGAGGGAGCCATTATGGGATTACCAATAAACATGACTGTAGAGAAATTCCCAGGAATCTACAGAGATGACCCCAGCTAAGATCCCAAGCAATAGAGGAGAGGGTGCCTGAATTGGCCTTGCCCTGAATGATGGATATCTTTAATATCACCATAGAACCTTCACCCAGCAACTGATGGAAACCGAGGCAGAGACCGGCAGCAGAGCACTGGGCTGAGCTCCCAAAGTCCAGATGAAGAGAGGAAGGAATGAGAATATGAGCAAAGAGGTCAAGATCATGATGGGGACACCAACTAAAACAGTTTACCTGAGCTAATGGGAGCTCATCAACTCCAGCCGGACCAGCATAGAACCAAACTAGTCCCTATGAATGCGGGTGACAGTTGTATGCCTGGGGCAGACTGTGGGGCCACTGGCAGTGGCACCAGGAATTATACATACTGCTTGTACTGGCTTTTTGGGAACCTATTCTCTTTGGATGGATACCTTGCTCAGCCTAGATATAGTAGGGAGGGCCTTGGACCTTCCCCAAAGCAATGTGCCCTACCCTCTCTGAGGAGTGGATGGGAGGGTGTGTGGAGGGAATGGGAGAAGGGAAGGGAGTGGGAACTTGGATTGGCATGTATAATAAAAAAGACAGCTTGTTTTCTTTTTTTTTGAAAAATAAGAAAAAATAATTTGTCTGAAAAATCGATACATATGTTAAAGATACTACTTAAGCCAGTATGAACAAAAGCTGTAAAGAAGCCCACAAAAATACAGAATGGTGAAAAAACTGACAAAACGGAAATATAATTCTTACCAAAGAATATGTTTCTCCCACAAAAGTTTGTATTTGGGTGGGTGAGATGGTTCAAAATTAAGAGCATTTATTGCCCCCCCCCCCCGAGAACCAAGGTTTGATTCCCAGCAGCTATATAGGGGCTCACAATCACCTATAACTCCAATTCCAGGAAATCTCACGCCCTCTTCTGACTTCTTCAAGCAATGCTTTAGTGCAGTGTACAAACATACATGCGTGCAAAACACCCATACACATAAAAGTCTTTAAAAAAAGAAGAAAGGAAGGAAGGAAGGAAGGAAGGAAGGAAGGAAGGAAGGAAGGAAGGAAGGAAGGAAGGAAGGAAGGAAAGTACGAAAGCTCCTAACTGCTCTTGACTGAGAAAGAATTCAGATTGGGGAGTTAAGGTTGTATATTAAAAGTACCATATTCAGAAACTTCTTGGAGATAAGCCTAACCAAGTTGGGAAAAGAAATCTACAAGGAAAATTATCCAATAATAAAATAGTTGAATCATTATGCCTATGATGTCAGAGAAACAACACTGTAGAAGTAATTAATTCTGCTGAAAGCAGTCTGTACAGTCAATGTAACACTAACAAATGTTTCAATGATATGCTTCACAGAATTACGGACAGTCATACTAAAATATTTGTGGAAGTATAAAAGACCCCGAAGATACAGAGACCAAGAGAATACAGCACTGTGTTTCCAGTCAGTTCTATGGGGTGGGGTGTTTTTACTCTGAATAGAAATAATAAACAGGCACGAAGCAGGTCTTTAACCACTTGTCTTTGGCCTCCTTCTATCCCTCGTGGGTTGGTATCGAGGAATCAAGTTCTACTGTGTGCTCTGGAAGCTGGAATTCCTCAACTCAAGGACCTAAACACTTGCTTCCTCTTTGAACCTCTTCCACTAACGGCATCTTTAAGTTGTTTTTTTCTCCTGTGGTTTGTGAAAGCCTTCTAGCCTCTTCAGTTTCAGCCTCTACCCTTGTGCCCATCAGCCTGTCTGAGTCGTTCTTCCTGCCTTGTTTGCAGTCTGTTCAGCTGCTGCTACAAATGATCAGAAAGACTCAGCAGAGACTGAATCTAAGATACTGAAGTAGGTAAAATGCAAACAAACAAACAAAAAGATTTCAAAGTTACTAGTTGAAGTGATCAATGACTTCAAAGAGTATACTAACAAGGTGATACCCAAATTACCCAGAATACCTTGAAACAGCAGAGACTAAAATGGACAAAAAACCCCACCAACATGAATAAACGTGTCAATGATATCAAAAAGAAAGTCAAAGGATACTCGGATTGTGAGGGGAAAACATAGAGGGGGATGAGTAGAATACTAGAAATTTTTAAAAAAAAAATGAATCAAAAACCGAGGAAAGGATCATCAAAAGATAGAACTAAGCCAAAGAAAGCATATCTAGATGAAGATTAAAAATTAATAATGCTGGATATCCACTGGACAAAATAAGATAAATAGTAAAGACATAATGAAGCTGAATAACAAATCTAGACAAATGGAGAGACAAACACAAAGACACTTAAAACACAGCAGTTGGGTAAAGCACCATTTAGGGTGTGACTGAGAACCCCTGATCAGAAGCTCTGTCTGCAGGGACTGATTGATCAGAACCAAAATGATGTGGAGACCGGAACCTGTACCATCTCTTGGGATAGCTTTAGCGCCCATAAATAGCCATTCCCTGTCCGTCTCTATGTCAGAACAAACATCCTGTGACTAACCGATAAAATTCTTTTGGAATTTATTAACTTAGTTTCTACCAGTCCCCAAACTAAGCATATCAACAGGTGGCATTTGCGGCCTATATGAGAGATTCCCTATTTTACTATAACCACCTTTCAAATGTATCTATGTATGTATCTTTAAAAAGCTTTGATTTATGGCTTTTATTCTGGTATTAAAAAACATCATGAAATTCCTTCCTCAGAAGAGGAGGCAGAAGAAATGTAAAAGCCAGTGGTCGGGGAAATGCTGTCTTCCGGAAATGCCAGAGCACCTGCACCCATGAGCTCACAGCACCTGTCGTTACCTGTCCAAGACTGGGCGTAGATGGGGAGATACTGTACCGGTTCCCCATTTACTGAGCAGTTAATGGCAATGGACAGATTTCTGGAGAGGAAATAGCCCACTGATAGGACGGATTCACTTTCCAAACACCCATGCACGGACTGCTGGATTATTAAATAATAGTAGCAACAACAACAATAATAAATTTGGAAGACAGGCGTGTTGGGAGCATATAGGAGTTGCTGGAAGGAGGAACGGGGTGGATATGATCATATTTCATTGTATATATGCATAAAAATTTTAATACGGAAAAATTTTTTAAAAGAACCCAGAGGGATCACGGGGGTAATCTAAAGCAGGTCTAACGGGAGTGCAAGGACGGGAAAACAGCGCTCACTGTCCAAGCTCAGACAGCCTGGAGTGTGAGCAGCGCTAACCCCCAGAGCTGCAATGTCTGCGCTGACGCAACCCGACAGGGCCGGGACTAGAATGAAGCAGCTTCACAACGACCAGGACAACACCTCAAATTTCCTGCTTCTTGCTCTGCACACACTTCAAGAGCAGGCGGGGAAACGACGCCGGGGCGTTCAGCTCACACACAGCTGCACAGCGCCCGGGAAACGTCAGGGCGGCGGGCGCCACATCACACCAGAGCTGCAGCAGAGTCGCGACCCGGGCCCGGGAGCACTCACCATTTCCTGCTTCTGCTGAACCCAGGGGTCGCCCCAAAGGGGCCTACCATCAGCTGGAAGCTTAATCAAAATGGTCTCAATGGCTTCTCGCGACTCAGATTCGGCTAACGGCTGCACCTTCTGAATATCCGTTCTTCCCATTGGACAATTAATGCAAAGTCATAACTGCGTTCCCTGATTGGCGGATGATACAGGCGGTGAAGGGGATGTGATGGGGACTTTGGGGAGGTTGGGAGCTTTGGGAGGGTTGTAGTGTGTGTGGCGGGGATGGGGGAGAGGAGTGGGTGTTGTGGGGGGAGGGAAGCATCTTATAACCTGGAAAACACCCCTTTCCTGCAGGGTTACGGCTACAAGAACAGGTTTCAGCAGTAACCTTTTAACTCTGGGTTTCCCGCCTAGAATAAACCTTTAAGGAAACATGTATTCAGGGGTTTTAGAGCAATTTCCCTGGTGTACTTAGTGGGCCACAATAGGTGCTTCCAATTACAAATAGTGCCACTAGTTTGATGGTGGAGCAACCAGATTCAGTACCTTAGAAACCAAAAGCACGATGACAGGGTAGAAGAGGTCCCTAGGTCAGGAAGAACAGCCTTAAAGGTTTATTCCATACCTGGACTGGAACCTGGTATGTGAACCAGACTGTCTTCAAGCTTGTGGAAAGCCTGCTGTCTCAAATCCTAAGGGACTGGATTATAGGTATGTGGCCGCTTATCTAGCCTGGAGTATACAACCCATCAGAAACAATTTCTCCCAATATTCACACACCCAAGGTGGTATACGTGAGTGTGCACACACAAGACAGACACATAAACACACATGTACACACACACATACACATGACAACCATCTGAAAATGTGCCATTCAGACTACACCAAGGAAAAGACAGAATATCAAATCCTGAATGTACGTTTTCTGAATTACTCCAGAAAATCAACAAAAAGAAGAAATTACAATCACAATGCTAAAGACTTCTTGTGCATGATTAAGGGAACAAACATTGAAAAGTGTTTGGCACCTAAGTAGTTACTGGCATACTCTTTACAGAAGGAATAAAAATCTTGAGTACCAAGGTCTGTAACATGATGTATGAAAAGCTCTCATTGAAATGCATTGTTCTGGAGGGTTTGTACACGACAATGAAAAAGACAACTAACATTTCAAAATAAACTGGCTGATACACCCCATCAGAATGAACGATTAGTACTAGGTATGCTTGTACACGATTATAATAACAATCTTTAGGCCATGAGAAAGGAAGATGGGAAGCTTGGGCATTTCAAATCGGAGGATCTCAGCTCTGTGATACACTAATATTACCAAAATTAGTGAAATATATAGCTATGTAAAACTTTTTACCATGATTCATTCTACAAAAATCTTTCCATCGTGTTCAAAATTGTTTAAAACATTTCTATTGAAAATATTTTCAGGCAATATATTTGGATCATTTTTATAACATCATCTTTTGGCTTTTAAGATAAAGTATATCTCAAGCAAATATTACTTTTCTACTTAAGTTGAAATCAATTTTCAATAAATTGCATTAAGGATATTCAACTGTTTCAAATTCTACATGTCTGATATTCAATTTTATTCACTGTGGCATAGACAATGTTTTCCATAAGCCTAAAAACAACAGTGTTGCCGAACCTCATGTGATTGTATGTTGTCCTTGAGAGCTTCTGATGATAGTCACCCTTTTTCTGATCACAAATACTTAAAGAACAAAGGTTGACACTCTGTATTTTTCCTTGGGTCCATGTCTTTCTATGCAGTCATGTTGGCCTCAAACACGACAGCCTTCTGGCACTGTCTCTGGAATACTATAACATTCAAGATCACTACACTGGCCTTCAACAATTCTCTTGGCTAATCATCACAGTGCTGTAATGCTCTTCTCAATTCTTGTGCAGAACTTACAAATAAGAGAGATTATGAATGTGAACATGGCAGTCAGTGTGCAGAAGCCCAGCAAGAGAGTCTAGAACACGTGGCCAGTGCAGACATACTTCCTGCAGTAGTAATAGGTGAAAACAGGTTGTATATCAGAGACATCATTGGCCATTCACCTATAGGGGTATATTAAATGTGTTTTAATAAATACAGGTTGCCAAAAGATCGGAGGGCAAAGCAGCCAGAATCGTCAGTCATACAGACCAGGGAGTGGTGGCACACAGCTTTAAGTCCAGGACTTGGGAGAGAGAGGCAGATAGAGTGACTTCAAATAAGTTCAAGGCTACCCTGGGCTATACTAGGTCAATCCAGAAACAGACCCAGGAAGTGGTGTTTCTCATCTTTAATCCCAGTATTTTGAAGTCACACACTTTTAATCCCAGCACTAGGGAGGTGGAGACAGGATATTGAGCAAAGAAAAGGATTTAAATGGGAAGAGACAGGAACTCAGTGGAGTGTGGAGTCTGAGGATTCATGGAGATAGGATCTTGCTCCTTCGGTCTGAAGATTTGGTAGAGGTAAAACGTCCCTTCAGTGGTTGACTGCTTTGCTTTTCTGATCTTCAGCTTGAACCCCAATATCTGTCTCTGGGTTTTTATTATTAATACTACATCCACCCTCAGATTTTTTTTCAGAGGTCAACATGAAGGGAAATCAAATGGACGTCAGAAGATGTGGAGAAAAAAGTTGGAACATTTTCACTCATTCTGTATTTTTCTGTCTTTTTTGTATTCCCTAGTAATGCATTTCTCTCATAAAACATTATCTTCATTGACTTTGACATGAACTGTTGCTTGTGGCCAAATTTACCCAAGAGAAGTCTACCCCTGGGATTTTATTCTTGGATTTCATTCTTGGATGAAATTGCTGTGACTGTCTGGAGAAGAAAATAAACAAATATATTCTGTAGAGTTTATTTTGTTGAGTCTTTTAGTTATAGATCTGAGGGAAAATGTTTCCCCAATGGAAGTGTTGCGGCTTTGAAGGGAAAGGTATCCTGGCAGTTGGGAGCCAAGGAATACCCCAAAGTAACACCACACAACAACCTCACACAGGGGATTTATTGGGAGAGGCACAAGAGAGTGGTTACCTGTGTTCCAGCAAGAAGAAGCAGGTAATTGAAGAGGAGACAGACTTATGTAGAATTTCTTAAAGGAGGAGTTTTACAGGGTGGAGATTTCCAGGGTATGTTTTATTGAGCTTTCAAGTCCTGAGCTTGGGACAAGCCCAGTGACTAATGGAATTTAACCTTAAGGATTGGTGGTTTGTCAAGATCAGAGATTGGTGGATTTTGGAGCTCAGAGCTTGGTTGTAGGTAGACTTTTCTGTCCCTCCAGCCCATTCCCAAATAACCAAGCAGAGAATTGTATTAATTATAAATGCTTGGTGGATAGCTCAGGCTTGTTACTATTTATTATATTTTAAATTAATCCAATTTCTTTTTTATTTTTTTCTTTAAAAAATATCTTTTTTTAAAAAAATTTTACATACCAATCCCAATTCCCACTCCCTCCCCTCCTCTCATTCCCTTCACATACCCCCTATCCCACTTTCCCATCCACTCCTCAGAGAGGGTAAGACAGATTGCTGTGGGGGAAGGTCCAAGGCCCTCCCTACTACATCCAGGCTGAGCAAGGCATCCATCCAAAGAGAACAGGTTCCCAAAAAAGCAGTACAAGCAGTAGGGATAAATCCTAGCTCCACTGTCAGTGGCTCCACAGTCTGTCCCAGCCATACAACTGTCACCCACAGTGGGTCATGTTACCTTATGTATTAAACCAATCACAGTAACATATATTCACATGCTGTAAAAGAATATTCCACAATTGGGGGGTTTTGTTCATTTTTCAAACGAGTAGGCGAGCTCAGACTTTTTAAGAAAATGATCCACAGTTCTCCAGGGGAGAGGAGAGACTCAGAAAGTTTTCAGGGTGATTAGAATGAGCACTTTGGTAATTAACATGATAAACATACATGCACACAGACTCATGAATTATTTACACACAGGCGGGCATATAACACTGTGGGTTCCAGCTTCCTAAGACTTACAGAATGGTAAAAAAAAATCTCTTGGGATTTTTAAATTGTTTTTATTGAGCTACATATTTTTCTCTGCTCCCCTTTCTTCCCATCCCCTCCTCTTCTACCCTCTACTACAATCCCCATGCTCCCAATTTATTCAGGAGATCTTGTCTTTTTCTACTTCCCATGTACATTAGAACCATTTATGTCTCCCTTAGAGTTCTCTTTGTTGTCTAGGTTCTCTGGGATTGTGAATTGTAGGCTGGTTTTTCTTTGTTTTATATCTAAAAGCCACTAATCAATGAGTACATATTATATTTGTCATTTTTGGTCTGGGTTATCTCACTCAATATGTTGCCTTCTAGATACATCCATTTGCCTTGCTAATTTCAACATGTCATTATTTTTTTCCCACTATATCTGTACTGCATCTTCTATGTCCATTCTTTGGTTGAGAGGCATTTAGGTTGTTTCCAGGTCTGGCTATGACAAATAATGCTGCTATGAACATAGTTGAGCACATGTTCTTGTAATATGATTGAGCATCATTTGGGTATATACCCAAGAGTGGTATTGCTGGGTCTTGAGGAAGATTGCTTCCTAATTTTCTGAGAAATAACTATACTGATTTTCAAAGCAGCTGCAACAGTCTACACTTCAGCAATGCAGAAGTGTTTTCTTTACCCCACATTCTCTCCAGCATAAGTTGTTTTCAGTGTTTGTTGACTATTTGTACAGGTACAAGATAGAATCTCAGAATTGTTTTGATTTGAATTTCTCTGATAGCAGAGGATATTAAACATTTCCTGAAGTGTCTTTCAGCCGTTTTAGATTCATCTATTGAGAGTTCTCTGTTTAGGTCTGTATCCAATTTTTATTAGATTATTTGTTTGTTTGAGGTCCAATTTCTTGAGTTCTTTGAATTTTTTGGAGATCAGTCCTCTGTTAGATGTGGGATTGTTGAAGATCTCTCCCCATTTTGTAGGCTTTCATTTTGTCTTGTTGCTTTACAGAAGTTTCTCAGTTTCAGGTGGTCCCATTTATTGTTTCTCTCAGTATCTGTGCTACTGGGGTTATATTTAGGAAGTGGTTTCCTGTGCCAAT